CTGCTGGAGTCTGCTGACAACATTGGCTTCTGGGAATCCTGTTTTTCTCTGCTGGCACCATCTTCACAAGGGACACTGATGTCATAGAACAGTAACCAGCAAAAACTACAGTCTCAGACTACACCTGTCAGTCACTGATTGTGTTAAAGTCTGCATTCTTTCAATGATTTGTTGTGTGATGTCTGGCAAGCCCCTGCCTTCGTGGGGCCTCCTTTTCCTTATCTGATGTTATGTGGGTTTGCACCCAATCACCTCCAACCACCCAAATCAATCATAGGTCTGTGACTTGGGGACTAAGAAAAGCAGAAAGGCAAGGACAGCATGGTATGAGTTTTTTTTTCCTGGGAAAAGCTCAACGTTTAGAACTGAATAAATAGCAATTAGAAAAAAACCCAAGATAATAACCCCCGTTTATTGAAGGCTGCTTTGCCAGGCCTTGTACTGGAGCTTTGTGGAAATGATCTGACGAAATCTTCAGAATAACCTTAAGAGATGTGGTTAAGTGCCATCAATTGGGTTCTGATGCATACTGACCCTGTATAGCATTTCCAAGGAGCAGCTGGTGAGTTTGAAGCACCAACTGTGTGGCTCAGACTGACCTTAGAGTCCAGTGCTTTATGCCACAAGGCAGCACTAGCTGGCATTGTTTTTACTCTAGTTAACATTTCTGTGGCTCATACTTTCTAAATGCAGAAATGGAGCCACAGAAATGTTAACTAACTTGCCTGAGGTCACAGTTAAAGTGCTGGGATTCAAGTCACATCTTTCTGTTGCTGGAGCCACTGTTTCACTACGCTTTAGGGAGGTCTGAGGCAGTTGTCCTCTTAGGACAACTTTCCAAATGTGCCTTCCTTTATTTGGACAACAACAGAATTGAGATTTTGGCGTTTCCAACACTTTCGTATTTCTCCCTATCTGTCCTTTCAGCCAAATAAATGTATGAATGAATAAGTAAATGTAGACTTTTATGACGCATATTTCATTTTTCTTGTAGAACTGGAAGTGTTGGTTTCCCTACTTTTGTTTCTTAAGCCAAGAGAATGATTTCTTCCCTCTGTACCCACTGCCCTTGAGTAGATTCTGACTCACAGGGACACTACAGGAGCGCATAGAACTGTTACTTATGGTTTCTGCAGCTGTAAATCTTTATGGGAGCAGAGAGCCTCAGTCTTCTTTTGTGGGTTGGCTGGTTGGTTTGAACCACGAACCCCGTGGTTAGCAGGCCATTGCTTAACCCACTGTGCCACCAGGGCTCTTCTTCCTTTCTTGAGGGTCTGGGGCTAAATTAACGTTTAATTAAAATGATCTTGAGCCAACAAATGGAATGAAGGTTAGGTAATAATGGGTCAGCTTCATGAACAGCTTGAGAAGAGCTAGTCCTTCATTGTTTGAGCTAACACCTACCCTAACAACCTGATTCCAGCAGGTTCTCACCACATGCTCTGCTTCCAGTGCCTTTCAACAGCCACACAAGCAGCTCTCCACATGGTAAGATGCTCCGACTCTCACTCGCCTTGCACCTGTACACGGCCTGGAATGCCATCCTCTTCATTGTCTGAAGAGTCAGGTCAGGTGTCTTTGTCTGGCTTTACCAGTTAATGCAAAGCATGCTTATTGATTCACTCACCTTTCCTGCATTTGAATGTTCAATCATTGAAACCAGAGGCCTCATCTTGCTCATCTTTGCACAGGTGCTGGATTCTCACTGACATGTTGTATACATTGTATGCACAACAAAAGTTTTGCAGTGTGCTCCTCTCCTATGTGAGAATTCCTGGTATGGCACTGTAGGATAAGCACTGGACTGAAAGGTTGGTTTGAACTGCAGGGTTGGTGGTTCAAACTCACCAGACGTTCTTCGGAAACCCTATGCAGGGTGGTTATGAGTCAGAACCAATTTGATGGCACTTAGCAATACAGTAGCAACCTCTCATATGTATGTGTAGTTGTTGTTAAGTGATGTATATGGTTTCCGAGGAGTGGGTAGTAGGTTTGAATTACAGACCGGTGGTTTGCAGTACAGCCCTATTGTGTGGTGGCTTTGTACTGTGGAGTTGTTTCTGACACATAGCAACTCTGTATAGGGTTTCCAAAGCTGTTAAATTTTGTGGGAGCAGAAAGTCTAATCTTTCCCCTTTGGAGTGGCTGATAGATTCGAGTTAGAAATCTAATGCATAACCCACTACACTGCCAGAGCTGGTGTGTACCAGGAGCTAAAGTTTCCATGCCTTTTGACCCAGTTATTCCCATGGCAAGGACTTCATCCAAAGGAAATAGCTGTGAAGGAGAAGGGAAATTACACAGATGAAAATGCTATAAAATCTATTATTTCCTAAAAAATGGAAGCAAATTAAATATTTGTCAGCAGAGCAACGGTAAGTAAATGACAGCTCACGATCTTGATGGAACATTACTCATTTATTCTCTGTTATTAAGCAAACACACTGCCAAGGAGGTATCAGAAAATACAGCAATGAACTAGACGCCACTCTCTCTCTAAGACGTGTACAATCTGGTAGCATCTACAATGATAATTACAAAACTGCATAGAAACCAGAAGCTATTTGGCATCTAACATATAGAGGAACAAAAAGCAGATTATAAAGCTGCACATTATGATTAAATTCTAAATATGTATGAGTGTGAGCAGTTGTATATGAGCAAGTGCAGTAATGAAAATATTGCATGGTTACATTTATGAATGACATTTTCTTTATTATATTTTATCATGGTTTTTCAAACTATAATGTTTTGGACAACAAAAATGTTTACTGTAAAAAGAAAAGTTGATCCATGGCCCAGATTCACCAGGCTGGTGGAGGCATGAATGGGGGTTTGGCATTCACTGGGAGGTGAATATTTGGAGGAACTATTTGAGGCATTCTAGGAGGGTGAGGCCATCAGTCTGTAAATCTAGAGTGCTCATTGACTGGCACTGTAGAAACCTGTCCCCTCTGTGCCTAGACTCCATCCTGTAGGCTCCTTCAAGGGCTGCCAGCATTATCCGTTAATGCCAGGTGGGGGAGAGCTGTATTCTGGGAACCTGACAAGAGGGTTGGGACCAGTAAGAGTGGGTAGGTGGGTCCTCAGGCTGGAAGGATGCTCCCTATGTAAAAGGTACCATTATCCATCTACAGATGAGGAAATCGGAAGTTTGCTTGAACCCAAGCTACCAGTGAGCAAATAACAGACTTGGGGCTGGAGTCCAACCCTTTTCACTTTGGACCAGGGTGCTTTCTCTTTCTTTCTCCCCCTGGCTCTGTGAGCAGGTGGGGACTCATGGGGCTGCCTGGAAGAATCTGGCTGAGATGGTGGTTGGAGTCCTTAGGGAAGAGTGAAAACAGTGGGAATCTGTTGGTCGGACCACATGCTGGAGGGTCTCAAGAGTCACACATTTGAATTTGGACTTGATGCAGTAGGCAGGGAGGGCAGAACCCTTGTTGGTTTGGAGACTTGGTAAAATGTGGTGCTGTAGGATAAGTCCTGGACTGCTAACTATAACATCTGCAGTTCAAATCCACCAGCCATTCCTCACAAACCCTATACAGGGTAGCTATGAGTTGGAAGCAAGTCGATGGCACTTAACAACAACAATAATAATGAAGTCCTGCAGTGTATGCAAGCTGGTGTGGTCAAGGAGGAGACTAGGGCCAGGCAGACGTTAAGGCTGGTGGATAGCTTTTGCTCTGTCTCCTCAGAATAGCACCCACCCTTCCAACTTCTTAGAACTATGTTTTCCTCCACCTCTAACTTTGAGACTGGAAAGGCACCTGCCCCATTATCTGAGGATACCACTGCATTTTGATCCAGGGATTTGCACCTGAAACAATCTTGGCTATTTAAAACTTTTTCCCTGGGAATTTTGACCTTGGGACCAGGTAGGAATACATCTTAGTCTCCCTTAAAATTTTTCAAAATTATTTTGTTGTTACTGTTTAGAATACACATAGCAAAACATATACTAACTCACCAGTTTCTGCATGTACATTTAGTGACATGGATTACAGTCTTTAACTTGTGCTACCATTTTCACCCTCCCTTTTCTGAGTTCTTCCTTCCCAGTGACATCAATTCGTTGTCCCCTGAGGCTCCTATTTAATCTTTGGAGTTGCTACTGCCAAATTTGATCCCACAGAGATAGTTCTTAAAATAGCCTGCTAAGAACTATTGTTTGGTTTTAAGAAGACTTTAGGGAATATTTTTGATTTAAGGTTTAAAGATTATCTCAGAGCAATAGTTGCAGAGGTTCATCTAGTCTTCATGGCTTCAGGAAGTCAAGAGTCCAAGGGAATTTGAAATCCTCCATTCCTTTTTTATGACAAAGCTGTGAAATGAAAGTCTGAAAGATCTAACTCATAGAGACTTGGGAGTCAGAGAGTAAAAACTCAAGTTGCATTTGAGCTCTGGTTCCCAGCCACACTGAAGCCTCAACCACCCTCTTGTTCTTCAGTGTGAACAGTACTCACTACCCTCTTTTTAGCTAGGTTGGTCTGGGTTGAACCTTTTTTCCCTTTTTTGTGGATATATATATATAACAAACCATTTGTCATTTCAACCATTTTCACATGTACAATCAGCCGCACCAAACACACTCTCCGTGTTATACAGTGGTTGAACTTTTGAAAAACTTGTTTATTTGCCACTTGTAAACAAAAAATCCCTGACATTTGCAGTAAGAGACATGTCTAACCCTTATCCCTGAAATTTTGACCACAATCCTCAAATACATTTTAGAGTTGTATTTATTTGGGGGGGG